GGAAATACTACAATTCCGTTACAGAATCATTCCGTCAAAATTTGTAACCGTTAGATCATCATGTAACCATCGTGGATATTTGATCTAACGGTTACAAACCTCGACGAGAATGATTCCGTAACGGGACCGTAGAATTTCCGAGAAAATTTGTAACTATTAAGTGTATATTTTAAAATATTTTATTCATGCCACGTGGAAATTGGAATTACAAATGAGGATCTGGCTAGCCCATAACCCCATTTCATCACTTATTGTGGCGAAATTCACCAAAGAAAGACAAAAAAAAAAAAAAAGGGGCTGCGGCTAAAGTGAAACAACCATAGGACTCCGGACAACATGAACTCCATCAAACCACTTGTACGATCCGAACGAGTACTTGTCTTTCCCAACCCCGCCGGTAAAATTCCCAACCCTTTTTACCGTGATGTAGAAACGCATCTTCTGACCGGTGTGGTTAAAATGCAGCTTTGAAGGCCATATTTTCACCTGGGTCCCCGGTGGAGGCTCTATGATGGAAGAATACACGCTCTGAGGTGGGCCCACATTTGTGACCGTCCGAGCGACGGTGACCGTGCTTTTACATTTGGGTATTGCTAGCGACGGGTGGTTGAGGTTGAGTGGACCCCATAATTTCTTTGGGCACTTGAAGTTGAAGGGATTAACAAGTTTCTTAAACTTAGTGCTGCACAGGAATAGGAGGTAGTCCTTGTGAGTCGCATCATATACGAGCCCCGGGTCAGCTGCTTTGTTCGGGTCGAAAACACCCGCCCCGAAGTGGAACGGGCCAGCCTGGCTGCCCGATCCATCCATAATGGGTTTCCCTTCATTGTCGATCACCCTTGCTGCAATACATCATGTTGAATTAATTTTGATTGTTAATATTCAATCGACGCGAAAATAAATGCATATATACCGGAAGTCATGAGAGCTGATCTTAACGCGGCGTTGCTCCAGTCGGGATGAACGGCCTTGAGAAGGGCCAACGCGCCTGATACGTGCGGGCAGGACATAGATGTGCCCGAGTAAATGTTATACTTTACAACGCGTTTATCTTCACGCACCATTGATGGACCAGCTGCTTCGCCCCAAGCAGCTAATATATTTAATCCTGGAGCCGCGATGTCCGGCTATATATACATGGATATATCCACAGTGACAATGATGAAATTTAAATATCAATGAACTTGAAAATGGAGAGCCAATAAGCTCAGTAATTAATTAATTTTACCTTCAAAATTTGGGGTGAATCTGAGTTGGGACCTCTGCTGGAGAAAGTAGGAATGAAAGGTGCCGTTACGTTGCCCACAACCGTCTGAGCTGGCGTGATAAGCGCGTGTGGTTTTCTCGTAGAGTTTATATATTCCAGAATACGGAGAGTATCCTCGTAGGTGACGTGCATTGCTGGAAGAACATGGGCATCGACAGTTATATCGTTCCCGTAGGCTTCATTATTTCCTAAGATAAAACCAGCGGCACCAGCTCGTTTGGCTTCCATGCCTTTGCGGATTCTATATCCGACTCCTGATCTCAAGCACAGGACGATTTTATGTTTCACCTTTTCAGGAGAAAGGGAACCTGGTAAACATTGCCTGTAGAATGAATGATTACCCTCCATCAGGTTTGGTTTAGTCACAAATAACAGAAAAAAAAACAAACAAACAAACATAAACAAACCCGGATTCGTTTTTGGGCACGTTGGGATTGGTTACAGAACCCGCGAAAACCAATGGATGCAGCGTGTTTTTCATGTGATAAGGAGTCACTGTTTGGCCCTGGAAAAAAGAATTCATCAATCCAAGTGTTATTTTCGGCTAATTAACATGCAATTTAGATCCAATTATATTATGAAAGTAACAATTATTAGGTACAACTGAAGGTGACATATATCAATTTAAGTCGTGTTATTTAATATTTTGTTATAATTTTGGTCATTGACCATTACTTTAAATATTGGTAATCAAGATCCATCACATATATATAAATTGGAAATTGACGGCCAAATTAAGGACTGACATTACATCAAAATTTTAAGTTACAAGACTTAAAATGTTAGAAATCATTTTAGTGTGACCTAATTTGCTACCTTCACAATCTAACATGATCTAATAGTACCAAATTTGCTATTATTATTATTATTATTATTATTATTATTATTATTATTATTATTATTATTACTATTATTATTATTATTATTATTATTATTATTATTATTATTATTATTTACAAGTCAAATTCTTATCTTCTTGTCCTAAAAGGCCTACAATTAGACCAATTATTATTATTGTTGTTGTTGAGAAAAGTTTCATCACCTGGAATTGGACGCCACTCCCGAGAACGACAGTTGCTGGGAAAATTCGATCGATGCTACTGGCCCCGACCGTGATGGTCCACGGAGCCAGATTTGCGACGCTGCCCAATGTGGGCCCGTCGTTTCCCGCGGTGCATGCAACCACGATGTTATTTCGGACAGCGTGTAGGGACCCAATCACGACGCCGTTCTGTTCGTACGGTATAGTAGACCCTACCTGGACGCTCAGGACGTGGACACCATCAGCAATGGCGTCGTCGAAGGCAGCAATGACGTCCTCGTCGAAGCAATCGGTTTCCCCCTCGTCTGGATCGTGCCAGCACACCTTGTAGGTGGCTAGGTGGGCTAGAGGGGCCCCGCCGGATGCTGTCCCCGCGGCAAAGCCGCCGAGGGCGGAGGTGTTCCTGACGGCACGACCAGCGGCAGTGGATGCCGTGTGGGTCCCATGACCGTTCATATCGCGGGGGGATCGAATGTCGAACGATGAGTTAAGGGGGCCGTAGAAGGCTTCGTAGCCCTTGAGGTAGTATCGGGCGCCGATGATTTTCCTACGTTTAACATATGTAATAAAAATTATAGGACATTGAACTCTAGTATGGTAAAAATAACATTGTTGGACCAATTCAATTTGGTTAACTGATAATTTAAAAATAAAAAATAAAAATAAAAAGAGGTGGAAGTGGTAGTCATAAAGTCAACTAAAATATTCTTCTTCGTATACGAATGGAAAAATTTATTATCAACTCAAATCGGGAATTGATAAGCAGTGACACCACATTCACCATGTTCAATTCGATTGTCGATATAATAACTTTCGCACCTTATGTAATAAAATACCAACATGATGGATTAAGCTTAATTATACAATAAATTATTGGACTATTATTTAGATTGTAAATATTTAATTTATTAATTATTAGATACGAAAATAATAATAAAGTAAGAATTTAAGTAATTCTGCCACATGATTTATAAAATACTAAATGTGAAAATAAGAATTTGCATGTACATCAATATTTTGCTCCTAGTTGCAATTAAAATGTCAACTTTAAAAGTAAATAATATTTATACTACAACAAATAATCCAAGGGCAAAATATTTCGAGGGTAAAATATTTCAATAAAATTTCAATGCATAATTCAATAGCATATGTTATGTTGGAAAATCCCAACGACACTAAAATATTATGTTGGTACTGAAATTTCTTTAAAAAAATTTGGAATATGATAACTCAAACGGCTAATTTTCCAACAGTTTATTGTTTTAGGAATTTTCCCTCAGTGTATAGACCAAAAAATGATAATAATAAGTAGTATTAAATATCTTACTTATTACATTGTGAGGATTTGAATGCTTCACCAGCTTGGCAGGTTCCGTTCCATTGCTTTGGTACATCATCCATCCCTTCGTCATTGAAACTTTCAGACTCTGGCCAGATACCTATTGAAACACCAAAGTTATATTAAGAGGGTTCGTTGTATGACACTCATTGTATAGGGAAATGCTACAATTCCATTACGGAATCATTCCGTCGGAGTTTGTAACCGTTAGATCATCATGTAATACCGACGGAATAATTCCGTAACGGGTAGAATCTCCCCATTGTATATATGATTAAACTCATTCAACTTAACATGTATTGTGTATAATTTTCTCATCCATCAAGCTACGAGGTTTGTTTCTTAATATTTAAAAATTACCCGAGTCAATCATGCCAATAATGATGCCCTTGCCATATCTAGATTTGTATAACAAAGAGTTTTTATCCACGTGGCTTGATTCTGTTGACTCTGGTAAGCCCATAAACTCCCATGACCTCGTCGTGTGCAATTTGTATTTTCTCGGATGACTCCGAAACACCGACAATACTTCCTCCCTTTCTATTATAATCCAATGTCGACACCACCCGTTAACATGTAACACATTTGCATACATGAGAGTAGAAAAATAAACTAAAATTTAAGGAAAAGTTTAAAACTAGTCTTACATGTGTAAGGGGTGAAATTTTTGTCCACAAGGAAATAGTGAAAATAAAAAAAATGCCCATAACTATCGAAAGAAGGATATTTGTTGCCAGATTTACGATTTTCTGATACGGAAAGCCACGTCGCGTTGAGGTGATAATTTTTGTTGGCACACTGGCCACAATCATCACAAGTAGCACAATACCTGTGAGACTAGTTTTGATTTTTTTTTTTTGGTTATACACTTCTTTTGTTATGTAAATTATTAAAAATATAAATATATATTAACTAATGTAAATTAATTGTTAAGTATATTTAAGACAATCATCATGAATATATATAATTATTTATTATAGCTTTTTTCAAAAGATATCAATTATGAAATATTTGTTACTATATTTTCAATTAAACAATTATATAATTACAAACAAAAAATTGGGAATATGAATATTCGATAATACATAAGTTCAATAATCGTACAATGCTTCAAAAAGTTTTGTTAGAGAATAATACTTTTTAACAATATTCGGGATTCCAAATGTCGATTTTCTCAGCTCGTGCCTTTTTGTGCAGAAAAAACTCCAAGGCGAACATATTTACATTTACAGGTAAATACACAATTTAATTATTTTGTTTTTATTTTTTGGTTTGCTCGTGCCATTTGGGATAACTAAATATAACTTTAGAAATATCATATTATATGAGTTTGTTACCAATATTTTCTTGGAAATGTTATTTTTATTAGGTAACTTACTTAAGAATATGAATTTAAATAACTTTTGATGCATTGTACAATTGTTGAATTGATTTAATATCGAATATTCACATTTTAAATATATATCAATTTTTCATAAATTTATATTATTAATGAAAAATTTAAAAATCTTAATTGTAATATTAAGTTATTATAAAATTACAAAAATGGTTTACATTCATGACAAAATTATAGTTACAATTTTTACTATATTTTTTATTAACTAATTTTAAAATTAAAAAAAATAATTATGTCACTAATAAAAAATATTAACTATAATTCACGAATAAAAACTATTTTTTAACTTTAGAATCATTTATCAATTAAAAAAGGCTAAAAGGATGACTATTAAAAATAACACGTCATAAAATAAAAGCAACTAATTAAAAAGATAAAAAAAAAAATAGTAAAAAATATTAACTATAATTATATCATAAATAAAATTATTTTTGTAATTTTACAGTAACACTTAATATTAAGCATCAGATAAAAGGATAACTATTGAAAATAACATGTCACAAAATATAAGTAAATAAAAGATATTCTAATTTCATTTTAATGCATATTTTATCCTTATTCATAATTGACATTGTTTGTAAATAGATATAATAAATAATTTTATATATTCAAATTGTCTGTCATAGATAATTATATTAAATAATATATAATATAAATAATTTATAACAAAAGAAGAGTATAAACATATAAAAAATAGGAACAATTTCAAAACTAGTCTCACAAGTATAGTGTCACCTGTAATTACTAGCGTCAGCGTGTGAAAAAGAAAAAAAGGTCACCTCTTGCAACTTGGCTTACGTAAATCGTAAATCCGGTATCAAAAGTCATACTTTTGATTAAAAAAGTTGTGAGACATTTGATTTTCGTGACAAAATGGTAACCCCTATACTTGTGGGACTAATTTTAAAATTTTTCCATAATTTTAGATTTGGCTCACCTGAAATTTTCGAAGCTTCTTGTTGGGTAAGAAAAGCGGCAAAGCCATTAATGCTGTTTTTGTAGCTATAAATAAGAGAAGATTTCGCGTCTTCCTCAGTTTCCTTCACAGAGAACAGATATGAGCGATGGTTTTCTTCTATCTCTTGGTGAGATTTTCCTCCAATATGCTCCCCGAAGTACACGATATATACCTATGAATAATGAATATAATTATACGATATTGTTTTGCATAACACAAGTTGTAAATCTGAAAATATAGTAACACTTTATTTACAGTAAAAGTTTCACTTTATAACAATCGAAAAACCTGTCTATCATGAGCAGAAGCAGCTAGAAGAAGAGGAAAAAGAAGAACAGAAAACTGCAGAAAAATGAGTAAGTTACAATTGTCCATTGTTGGGAAGAAGCTTTTTTGTAAGAGGTACATAATATTGAACTGGTCCACTGGATATATATACAGGGACATTTTGGAACGTAATCATGTTGAACATTTTACTCTTTTTTAACTTTTTAACTCTATATAATTGATTTTAACTTTTTACTCTATATAGTAGACAAAATGTGAATTTAGCCTAATTTCGAAAAAGCTACATCAACTTGGACATTAGCAAGACGTGTGCATTTCGAAATCATTAGAAACGGTACACTTGTCATACTCATTCAATTTTATGAAAAGGTAGATAATACGAAAGAGACGAGACGAGTTCGAGAAACTAATCATCTCAATCGGATGATACAACTCTCTATAAACCACATATATACACAAAATTATGGCTATAAATAACCTAAAGCTAATACGGCAATACACAAATATACACAATAACACCCCCCTCAAGTTAAAGCATGCGGATTCCGAATGCCCGACTTGCCAATAAAGAAATCAAATTCACGCTTCCCAAGCGCCTTGGTGAAGATGTCAACGAGTTGTGCCCCAAAAGGAACATGAGTAGTAGAAATGTGACCCTGAAGAACATCATCTCGAACAAAGTGACAGTCCACCTCAATGTGCTGAGTGTGCTCGTGAAAAATCAAATTTGCTGCAATATGCAGTGCAGATTGATTGTCACAGTGTAACTGCATAGGCTGAGAGTGAGCGACACCAAGAGTAGATAACGGTTCCCTTAACCACTTCAACTCGCATAATGTAGTAGCCATCGCCCTATATTTAGCCTCAACAGAAGAGCGTGCCACATTAGGTTGTTTCTTGGTTCGCCAAGAAACAGGAAACTGACCCAGCTGAATAAACCAACCAGAAAGAGAACGCCGAGTGAGAGGGCAAGACGCCCAATCCGAATCACACCATGCATAGAGTTTAAGATCGCAGTCAGTACGAAGATGAATCCCATGACCAAGAGAGCCTTTCGAATATCGAACCACACGCAGAGCAGAGTCCCATTGAGCCTGACGTGGTTGATGCATAAATTGTGAGAGCATATGCACCGAGTAAGACAACTCAGGTCGAGTTACTGCCAGATAGATAAGACGTCCGACTAAACAACGATATCGCTCGGGATCAGACAATAGATCACCCTCACGAAGAGGGAGCTGATGATTCTGCTCTAATGGAAAATCAGATGTCTTGCTCCCTAGTAGTCCGACCTCAGCTATGATGTCAAGAGCATACTTCCGCTGACAGTGAAAGAAGCCAGAAGAATTTCGGGCAACCTCGATACCCAGAAAATACTTAAGCAACCCAAGATCCTTCATGTGAAAACAACGACTCAAGTAACTCTTGAAGGCCACAATGGATGTGGTATCATTCCTGGAAACAATCAAATCATCTACATAAACTAGGACATGCAGATGGACAGAAACGATGCAGTATAAAAAATGAGTAGTCATGATAGGACTGACATCATACTGCTTCAAAGTCGTAGACAACTTGGCAAACCAGCAACGGGGAGCCTGCTTCAAGCCACAGAGTGAACGACGGAGACGGCAAACCTGCCCATTTACGCCAGAGCGAAAACCAGGGGGAAACTTCATGTAAACCTCCTCATCCAAATCACCATGAAAAAAAGCATTGTGAACATTCATCTGGTGAACTTCCTAATGTTTAGCAGCAGCAACAGCTAAGAATAGCCGGACTGTAACCATTTTGGAGACGGGAGCAAACGTCTCATGATAGTCAAGACCTTCTACCTGATTATTTCCCAAAATCACTAGACGCACTTTATAGCGATCAACGGAAACGTTAGACTTATGGTTGATCTTGAAGACCCACTTGCACCCAATCGCACGCTTTACAGATGGAAGAGAAACTACATCCCACGTGTCATTATTCTCCAAGGCACGAATCTTATCCTGCATAGCGGCTTGTTTGTAGTATTTTTGGGCATGTGGTAACCGAGCTACCCGACTCGGGTCGTTCTC